TCCCCGGTCCCCGGTCCCCGCCCGGCCGCCTCCCCTCGGAGCAGCTCCGGCGCTGGAGGTGGCGGATTGCGCCCTTCTCAAAATCTGCCCCCATGATCGCCGTGCAAACGCCTCTCACCCAATTAAAAAATAAAAACAACAGAAAAAAATAGAATATTATTTTGTGGAGCGCCATCCTCACTCTTCTTTTCAGTTTTTTTTTTTTTTTCTCTCGTTTCTGAGAAAATCCCGCACGCCGGTTTAACTTACAAGGAATACACTCGAGGAGCCCGTTTAGGAAAGATCCGGCTCAGGAAACCGTGCAAAATTAAGAAAGGTTTCACAGTGTTTGAGCTGTGATTTTTTTTCCCTCCCCCTTTGGTTTGCTTTTTAACCTCGAAAATAAGGTCTGGATAAAGCTCACAACTTTTCCTGTCCACGGACTATGCGGAGCTGCCTCTGTATCGGTTCGGGAGTGTGAACTCGCACACGCACAAGAATGTATGTGCCGCTTAATTAATGCCACTGTATGTACATATGCACGTCTTATCTGTGGGTGTAGAGGTATTAAAAAGTCGTAAAAAATGTATCCGATGGTGAAAACAAGAAAAAAACAATAGTAAAAAAATCCATATTCGTGTTGATCTGAGCTTGGAATTGCAAAGTAAAAAATAAAAGAAAGAAATGCATCCAGTCCCTGAATACCGGATTGTGTTTCTTTTCTATTTTTTCTCCCTTTTAAAAATTTTCCTCAACATTTGTCCATATTTAATCGAATTATATATAATTGGAGGTCTAAACAATCAAACTCTTGCCTTTAAGTTGCCTCATTCCAATCCCCAGATCATTTCTTTGATGTTTTAAATCGCATCAAACAGCTTTTCCATGAAAAAAAAATAAAAAGTTTAGGACTTGGCATGCTGAATACAAATATGCAAATAAATAAGCATTTAAGCATTTACTCTCTGTTTCCCATCTCTATATTCGTGTGTGCTGCTGTATATCTCTATTTCTGCCTGGATGTATATGTAGAGCTATATATGCATTATATAGCCATGCCTGTATCTATATGCTAGATGTATATTTAAATATACATATACTCTCTTACTCATATGCATATTATATACTCACCTCATAGATATCTTCATACTTGACATTTTCAACCAGTTTCCAGAGCATGATGGCAGGCTGTTCTCTAGGAGGTGAGTGCATTCATGTGAAGAGCAGATGTCTGGATTCTCAGTACTTCTCTGTCTGTAATGATCCATCTATAATTGGAAATGGGGGACAGACACCAAATCCGACGTTCCTCTTCCATCGCAACTTATATCTGTTGTCTGAAACAATAGGCTGCAGAAGCCTACCTCAATGGGATAGTAAAAAACATTATCTGTTACACAGTTGCATATAGCTGCGGACATATATGTGACTAGATATAGACATATACACACATATAGAGACTTATATGCAGGCATATAAAATATATACACACACAGAGCTGCACCATCACAGATTTACACACACAGGCACCCACACGCACGTAAATCTCTGAACAGGCAACTTTCCCCCATGTATAGACATATTAGTCGCCACATTTAGATATGTAAATTATATATATTCTTCCACATGTGGGCACATGGAGACTGCATGTTACATATGCACATGTGCACGCTAACCTGCTTAGTTTATATAGGAGTGTATTTAAATGCATATATGTGAATCTAGTTATACATTTACACATATATATATTGGTATAGAGGATTAAATACACACATTATGCAGTACATATATCTGATATTTTAGTAGATGGTTGGATGGATGCATAGATAGATAGATAGATAGATGAAATTAAATTAATATTTTTTCAATCCTCCCTATGATAAAATAAAGAATAAGTCGCCTCTGCACTAAGTGATTCATCATTTACAACGAGATATGATGCTTTTCCCCACATGCAATATGCTTTTATTTACATGTCCAGAAATTATCCTCTCATATGCAGTTAAACACCAAAACAGCGTCTCATCAAAGCACATTCAAGCAAATCTAAAAGGAGCAAATTTAGATCAATGATTTCCACTGGAAAGCCTTAGACTTCAGGCTTGGGCTGTATATTTTATAACTTAGAAATACTTAATGTGGCGAAAAAATAAAGGGAAAAAATAGGAGTTTTACAAACCCTTCTGTGCACACATTGGAATAGCGTTTAGTACTTTCAGAAAACGATTAAAAATAGAGTTGGATTTGTGCATTTCCCGGGTAGCCCTAGGTTTGGAAGGGGAAAGGAGGAGTTAGACTGTTAGACCAGTTTTAACCTTTATTTTTTTTTTCTCCCCCAGGCAAACCTTCCTTCGCATTGTCCGATTTTTTTTACGCGCTGAGCGGCAAAGAGCCGACACAGGCAGCAGAGCCCATCTCTGCCTTTGAAAGGAAACAATCGAGCTTTGCAGTGGGCTGGTGCACCAGGAGGGGAAAAAGATGGGGAAAAAAATGAGGCACAGAGGCAGAGAGACAGAGAGAAAGAAGGTGTTTCTAGATTCAAGGTCCCGTCTCTGGAAATTTCAAGCTCTACCTATAAGGTTCCTGCAAATCTTTGTTATTCTGCACGGGATCCTATGGGAAAGTGCACAGTGTCCTTTGTACTTTCAAAGGTCCTACAGGTAAAGATGCTTTTATGTACATATATATATATAATCTCGGAAACGAGGAGAACTTCATCAGAAGACACATTTGCTGGCGTGTGGTTGGCTGGTGGGAAGGGTGGGCTTTGCTTTTTCTCTTTGCTTTGGCCTCAAATTAAGGCAGAAAGTATAAATTCATCCTTTTCCCTGTCAGCTTCTACACCACCCTGGCACCCTCCCCATTTTGCAGTGTGCATCTTCTCCTAAAGCCTCAACCCACAAAAGGCAAGAGGCAAACAGCAGCCAGATATTACAGCAGGAGCTGGACAACGGTGTTGCCAGAAGTTATTAAAGCAGATACGAGGTTTTGTTCTCAGCACAGCCAGTGCTGCACTGAGGAGGAGCAGAAAAAGGGCACATCTTTGAGCGGGTTGGACTGATCATTTCAGCTGAGGCAATAGGGTGAAAAAATGCTGGAAAAGGAGAAAGGATGTGAGCTGTTTGCATGGGGATGTGCGGAGATACCCGTGCAGCCACCCTTACACATCTATAGATCTGAATGGCCCTCTTAGAAAAATACCAAGCTCGTAAAGGGACAGTTTACCATCATTTTTGTGGAAGTCGTTGAGTCATGAAGGCTGGCACAGGGCAGAGTGAATGAGCTTCGTGACGGCTAATGCTCCACAATTCTGTGGCACCCTGAATTAAATACGTTCTGCCAGCTGGGGGAGGGGAGAGGAGGGGAGTGAAAAAAAAAGAAGACTAAAATAGATTTGGAGTCCACTGTCTCCTTGCTAACATATTGGTATAGGCAGTAAATTCTGACTTTTAAACCCCATTATTATTACATTTGTCTTGCATTTGCAAAGCATGAAAAACAAACAGGCACTCATTTGGAAAAGTAAGGTCCTTCACATTTTATTTTTGCACTTGTGTTGCACCCCCAGTTTAATTCAGCAATCCCAGGCAGCAACACTTGCACTGATTTATCCCTCACACGCGCAATGAACCCTACGTCCAAAAGGTGACATATATAACCAGAACTGACCGCTACAACCCATACTTTCAAAAGTAAAAAAAAAACAAAGGGGGAAAACCAGAAAACCAGTCCTTTCCTGGCAGTTTGTGTTGCTCTTTTCCGATCTTTTCCAAGGAAAACATTGGGTTTTAATTTTTTTTCCAGCGGTGAGCTGGGTGCTGCAGCCTCAGCGTGGCAGGTACGACGGCAAAGGAATATGTTATATATGTATATATATATGTATTTTTTTTTTAATTATTATTTTGTTTTTTGCTGGGGATGTCTTTCTCCGTGGCCGTGCCCCGGGCGGAGGGAGCCCCGCTGCCCGCTCGGTGCCCGCGGAGCTCGGAGCGCGTTGAGCGGGGCAGCGGCGCCCTCTGATGGGGACTCGCTCCCGGCAGCGGCTCGGGTCGGATCGGAGCCCAAAGATCGGCCCCATCCACACCCCTGACACATCTCACACTGTCCCAGGCTGCTCCAAACCCCGTCCAGCCCGGCCTTGGACATTTCCAGAGATCCAGGGGCAGCCACAGCTTCTCTGGGCACCCTTCGCCAGGGTTTCACCCCCCTCATAGCTAGCAATTCCTTCCCAATATCCATTCTGATTCTCCTCTCTTTCTTTTCAAAGCCATTCTCCCTTGTCCTGTCCGTCCAGTCCCTTGTGCTGAGTCCTTCTCCAGCTCTCTTGGAGCTCCTTTAGGCACTGGAAGGGGCTCTAAGGTCTCCCTGGAGCCTTCTCTTCGTTCAGCCTGTCTGCTCCAATCCTCAGAGCATCTTTTTGTTCTACCCTGTACTTGCTCCAAGATGCCGAGGTTCGTATTTGGGAATTACAAACACTCAAATATTTCCTCTGCTAGAAATTGTGCTGATATAATCTTTCCCCCTTAAGGATAAAGTTACAGGTTCTTATTTGCATTGATTTTTGATTAGCAGGACATTCGGTGTTTTAACCTCTACTTTAAAATCAGAATAAATCTTCCATACCTCATGTTCAATATCATGAGTATTACTCACTATAGAATAGTGAGTATTAGTAGAATAATAGTGAGTAATGGTAGAATACAGTGAGGATGAATATCCTAATTACCACAATGAAATATCTGTTTATAGCCCTGGGAAGGAAAGAACCCACAATAACAGGATGTCTATTTTGTTGAGAACTCGAAAAAAATTCATTTTAATTCAATAAGTTATGCTACCTTTAGCTCATATGCTTTTCTCAGAACTATTTTCTGTGGTTTTTTTCTGTTTGTTTGTTCGTTTGATTTTTTTTTTTAATTTTTTCTTCCCCTAATCAAGGGCCTGTTTCAGAAATGGGCATTAATTCCTGATCTGCCGTTTAAATCTGGCATGGATGTCTATAAATAAAAGTCTATCTCCCTCAGTATCCAACTCCCAGAAAATCCGTATTGTTGGCTGGAGTTTAAAAGAAATCCGTTTATCCCAGCGCCCTCTGCTGCTCACTGAGCTCATAGAAAGGCAGATTTCTGAGTTCTGGTAAAATCCAAGCTTTTTGAACATGTTTGGCACCTTTTCCTCCAAACGAACTCTTTTTTTTCTCCTGATATTTTTCTTCTGTATGTTCTCACGTGTATTTCAGAAATCAGTATTTTTTATTAAAAAGCTTAGTTTTAATTGTACAGCTTTTAATTTGCATTGCAGGTGTCTTGAAATTTACTGCCACCTGCTAATAGATTTACAAAATCATTACTTTGATGAGCACTTTATACTTTTTCTTTGTGAGTAATACCAAGATTCTTCTCTTAAAAATAAAGCTTTTCATAACTTTTGCTGTTAAATCTGTGTTTCCTACTACATCTCCAGACAAAACCATCTCCAGAAAAATGAGGGTTTTCATGGAACCATGCAATTGTAGGATGATAGAATAGTTTGGATTGGAGAGGGACTTTAAAGGTAATCTACTCCAACCCTCTGCCTTGAGCAGGGACATCTTTAACTATGTCGGGTTGCTCCAAGCCCTGTCCAACCTGGCTTTGAACATTTCCAGAAATGAGGCATCTATCACATCTCTGGAAAACCAGTAACAGTGTTTCACCATCCTAACTGAAAAATTCTTTCATTTTATCTAGTCCAAATCTGTCTTTTTTCAGTTTAAACCCTTTGCTCTGTCATTACAGACCCTGCTAATAATTCTGTTCCATTATTTTACATTTTCCCAAACCCACCAGTGCTTTCTTCAGGGAAGGGCATCACCAAACCCAGCAGCAAGAAGGATACCTAGAGCAGCTTTTAACAAGGTAGGAAAGCTCAGCCACATGTGTTAATCCCTTTTGGAAAAGTCCAAACTGTTTTTCACATTTAACACCCCCAGGTCCTTCAGTCATTCCTCACAGAACAGGTTCTCTACATCCTTCACCAACTTCATTTCCATACTCTGGACCCATTCCAGAACCTTTTTTTAGTGAGGGGCCCAAAACTGAAGCCACCAATTTTGTCTAATTGTGATAAAAAATTAGCTCAAACATCTCTCACTTTTCTCTGGTACCAATTTAGTGACAAATTTTTGATGTCAGGAACCCCAAATGGTGAACCCTCACATTGATGGGTCAGGCTCAGTTTCTCCCAGACCAAACCTCACACAGCCTGTGGGCTCTTTGGAAAATGAAACCCTTCCAAGAGTTTTTGCATTACTATACAGAGGAGAACTCTTGCATCCAAGATAAATTATGTTTG